ATCATTTTCATTGATAGATGGTATTGTAATTGGAACACTAAAACAAAGGAAAAGATTTTATTTTTAATTTCAAACTTTTCTTTTCACAGACTTTTTCAACTAATATATTTCCTATCCAACAACTTATTAGATATTGTTGTTGTCAACCAGACTGCTCTCTTTCACTATTATGCCTATATAACGTACTCTATGACAAAAACGAAGAATTGCTAAAAATTGCATGAATAGATATGTTTGAAGGTGAATCATTTATACATAAATACAATACTGTAACATTTGAAGATAGTGAAATATTGTTTGAAATATCAGGATAATCATAAGTATACTGAGGGAGAATTGAACAAAGAGAAGATGATTTGTGCATAAACATAGTTCGGACTAATTCATATTTATCACTTTCATTCATAGTTTCATCATCTGGATTAGAAATATTAAATGAAATAAGTTTATCACAAATTTTTATTTGTTTATATGTAATGAGAAAAAGATCGATCTATTCTCGAAAATTTCACTGCTTCTAATCGTCAGACAATTTGTTAATGCCTCGGATCAATGACTAGTTTACACGGATATTTAAGCATGTTTGAAAGCATATTCAAATATGAACACAGAGTCTTTACTCTTGACCAAACAACATTCTTCTCTAATCATTCAATTATTAATTTACAAAATATCGGTATATATTATGCAAAAAATGAACAAAATCCTTAGAAACACTCCATTATTTCAATGAAAATCTCTCAATTTTTAAAACTTATTTTGAAAGAAAAAACATCAATAAGTAAAGATACTTGAGACAGATATTATTAAGATCAAAAATATCTTAATCCCTTCAGTAATTGATAAACTAAACTGGAAAAGTTCAAAAGAAAAGTTTCACCATTCATGACTATAATGCATACAAGAAGATACAGATTATTTAATATAACATTTTCCTAATTCTTCCATTTTTATTATGAAGATAGTTCATGTTAAAGAGGTTTTTTTGTAAGAATAAATTTAAACTATGAGGAGATTTTCTTGATAATCGTATATTTTCAAATAACAATAAAAAAAAAACTTGGAAAGCCACCAAAGAGTTCTATTCTTCGTTAAATCCTGTCATCTATTTATCATGTGGTAGTGACAGATCCAGAATTTTAGCAAGGGGAAAACGATTTATAAATGATGCCTTCCGAGATAGTATGACTATTCTTCGAAGCAAATTAGATAGTATACTCTCACATTTACGTTTCACAACATTGCTATCATATAATAAATCTAGAAATCCATACATAGGTTTTATCATGGGGAAAAGAACTGATTTTAGATTTTTCCTTCCTTAAAAACACATTTTGAAAATATTGACCTATCTTGAAGATCTAGTATCCAAAGTATGATGATAATAGAAAATAGAAGTTGAATTTTAGTCTATTACAAACTATGCGAAGGTATTCGATTTTTTTTATCGATGTTACCAATCATCCTTTAGTTTAACTTATAGAGTTCCAAATGAAGACACAAATTTAGTTATTTTTTACAGCAATGCAATATAATTTTCTGTTGTTAAGGTAGTTGGTTAATCTATCCGTAAAATTTCTAACATGACACTTCTACATATTATTGTCATTAATAACCAGCGAACGGAAATGTCTAGGAAAGATATGTAATATATGCATCAGTGCATCATTTCTGAATAAAAGATTTCTTTTTTTTTTAATGGCTTTAACAATTCTTAACAGAAGTCATAACCATTGAAGATATTTTTAACTATAAATTTCCTATCATTAGTAAAAATTAAAATCAAAATGTTTTATCTATTATGATTAATTTATCAGTCATAGATAAATAAATTAATAGAAAAAACAATTAAACATGCAATTCTATTCTGTCTTCTCAAATCTTTATAAAAGCAATAAAGTTAATTCTTGCAGAACATCATGCTTGTATTCATTATCGAAAGTTACTAGCAGGAAATATTATGGAAATTTATGGATGACTTATTTTTAATTTATATTGTAGATTTAAATAATTTTTCTACAATTAAATTTCTTTATGTTAGATTATAATCATATCTAGTAGTAATACTCGATACATCATTTGTCTTAAGTAAGACATGAACTTTTTGATCTTTCACATCTTTTAGTAGACATCGCGTGATTGAGATCAGTCCAATACAAAGTGAAAAAAAAATCATAAATAATATATGTATATATTTTTATGTGATTCATTTGAGAATTTGATATTGAAAAAGACAAACTAGATTATATTAAACACATCTATTTGATTTTATGTGATAAAGAAAATAATACAATTCTTTTTTTATAACTAACTTTTATTTTCTGAGAAGAGTTATACAAATAGAAATGAGAGTGAGTGAAACTATTTCAGAAAAAAGATGTCTCACTCTTCCATCTGAGTGGGCGAGTGACTGACTATGCATGCTATGCTGTTAACTAGTTAATTGAAAAAGGGATATAAGAGAAGGAGAGATAGATTACTTTGATGGTGCGTGTGTGTTCAACCAACAGAAACTATCATTCACATAGAGAGCCTTCAAGCAACATGAGTCTACAGAGTTAGAACTAATCTTATGACACATAAATTCATCATCATTCAAACAGCTCAATCTTTCTATCTAAGGTCATAGCATTAGTTTTTTTTTTTCATTAATGTAGAAAAAAAAGGAAAAAGAAAAAGAAAGCACGAGATAGACAAATCAAGGTAATATTTTATTTGATATAAGAAGAATTAATTAGTTTTATTTGATTTTTTCAGCATAAAAATATGATTAAAATTTTTTGTTCTCATTTATTCCTATTGATTACTGTCTTTATTCTTTCATTATTATTTACTATTGTCAATTGTAATAATAATGATGATATAATTGAAGCAACATCATTTGAAACAAGACCAATAACAAAAACAACAAAAAATCATTTATATGATTTATTAGCACAAGCAAATTTAAATGATGAAGAAATAAATATTTTTATTCAAGATTTATTACAATCTTATCCTAATCGTCGATCATCATTTTATGCCATGCGAGGAAAACGACGAGCTATTTTACCATAGTTTGAAACTGATTCTTCCAACTTTGGTCGAAAATCAAAATATCAAAAATAAAACTTATAAAAATGTCGACAAAAACAAATGTTGAAAATGATAGAGTATTGAAGAAGGAATTCCTTTCGCCTTCCCCTTACTCGTACGTTTACATTTTCATCCCTTGTTTTTGTTTTCGACATTTTTACCTTTCGACCAAAGTACGGTTTATCTTGAAACTATATTATTTTATGTAAAAGAAATGTCTTATTATCAAATAAACAAAATCTTGAAATAAAAGCTTTTTTTTGCATTGTTTTAAAAGTAGAGTATTGTAATGATTTTATGAGATTATTATTTAGTTCAAGGTTTCACTTGTCATGTGTACTATTTTAAATACTCTTTAGTTCTATTTTCAGATAAAGTAAAAGGAATTGCTCTATGGTTTACAATTAATCTTGAAATAAGATGCGTGATAATATAGGAAATATTACTATTAATTAGCCTATTAAGAAATAGATGTCACATTCAATATATCAATATTTTATCTTCCATATTATTATAATGCTGAGAAAAATCTTTTTTTTTAATTTTTTTATATTTCCTCATCCTCACCTCTATTAGTTATTGATGTGACTATTTGTAGAAGGATTGCAGAAAATAAAGGAAGCGTGGGATTTGAAAATGATAAGAACATTTTTTTCATTGGTCTGCTATGAAAATATTAGGCCTACAAAATCAATAATTTTGAAAAAATGGAAAAATTCGAATTTTTCGAAACAAACTATTCTTTACCTACATACAATAGAGATCTTTCGAAATTTCTGTGTGATATAAATCACTAAACGAAGCCTACTAGTGAATTAGATATGTTTTGAAAACTTCACGATAACTTGGTGAATTACATATACCAAGGTATACAATGACCATAGAACCATTATTGAGTAACTGAAAGACAATCAAGAACAAAGTTAATATACTTATATATTATAAACTTAAACTCATGAAGAGTTGACATAGCATTTACTATAAATTAAATGTCTTCAAAGATTACAAAATGACTTCAAGCAAAGCAGATATTTATTTATCAAGATATATCAAAGACACAAGTATTCTTTTGACATTGGTCTTTGATCGGTTCCCTGCTTCCGGTTACTCAATAATTTGATCAACGAAAAAAAAAACAAGGCTTAGTCTATTGCTCAATTCCTTTTCTCCCCCACACGGTCATTGGACCAATCAAACGGCTCTAAATAAAGATATGGACACTCGGTGAATCAGATCATATCATCAGCATATTGGGTGTGGGTTAGATGAAAGAGAATACCCATACTCACACCCGCACCCCATTTGGTTATTCTCCTAGTAAATATCGGTCATTACTATTGAAAAATCCGTTATTGTTTTAATCAAAAATCGTATATTAGATAAACTTTTTTCTTATTCATTTCTGCATTTTGATTATTGTGTCAAATTATTTCAACACAAATATTTTACAACAAAAAGAAAATAATAAAGTAAAAACAAACAGAAAATATTTTAGAACCTTCTAATAAAACAAAACTGGATACAAATAGCTTAATATTTTACAAGAAAAAACAATCAAATTCGCTCTGATGAAATTAATGGACTAAAAGAATACATTTGAAACGATTAAATTGATAAATTTTGTTTCTTTTCTGTTCAGTATTCATTGGATTATTAAGTCTTGTCTGTATTTTAATGAATGGAAAATATTTATATAGTACAATGAAGAAAGAAATAACTTGTTTATTTTATTAAATCTGTTTTTGTTTTTTGTTTCGAAGCAATTAATTCTTCAATCAAAACCGATAACTAATATTAGAAATATACATAAACTATACATAATATTCATCATTATTATTCCGATACATCTACACATTGTTTTTCAGATTATTCAATAAGATTCAATTCATCAATCATATTTTTATTTAAATTGGAATATAAAAATTGAACAATTTCAACAATGGATTCCAATGAAGAATATAAAAACATTTCCAAAATCCTTGTTGAACAAGTGGATGTTGACGTTTCACAAGAAAAATCAAAAATTAGTTAAACAACAATCGGATCACGTGGTTTGGAACAATGTTTATTCTTTGTTCCAGATTTTATGGTGGTGTGGGTGTGGGTGTCATTTAGAAGACCCAACACCCACACCCACCCTTTATAGCTGCTTGTAACTCTTCTACTTTTTGTTTGAGAGACGAACATGTTTTTTTCTAATGTTTCACTTTTTTCTTTTTCTTGTTCATTAAGTACGTTCTGATCTTCTTTTAATTTTTGTAATTCTTGTTCGAGATACGAACATTTTTCTTCCGACCTGTTACTTTGCGTTTTTTCTTCTTCATAAAGTCGTTCGTGATCTTCTTTTAATTTTTTTATTTCTTGTGCAAGAGACGAACATTTTTCTTCTGATTTTATACGTTTTTGTTTTTCTTCATCGTAAGATTTTTCCTTCTGTTATATTAATTTTTGCAAATCATTAATTATTATATTTAAATTTTTCGGTTGATCATTTATTTCTGATGTCTATAACAGATAAAATCATTTTTAGTAATCTTAGAACAAACTTTACCTACCATCGTAAACAAGACAAAGTTCAAGAGTCACTCAAAAATTATGTAATTGAATATGCGTGTCTATGGTACCTTTCTCTAATTTTGATGGAACTCAGGATATATCGTTTTCCGATATGTACAGATTTCAGCTACACCTTTTTCTCGTTTTGCATAAATTATCAGAGCTCTACTGTCTCCAAATTATAACCGTTCATTGACTTTCATTATGTAAATTGGGAAAATTTCCTGCTATATTCCTCTCCGATTTTATTAGGGTTTTCATTAGTGCAACTATTTCATCTATAAAATAACGATCCAAACTACCGAATAACTTTATTGTTGGCTGCGAGAAATCAAGCTATTTCCAAAATATTTGTACTTATTCACGGAACCAAATTCGAATCATTCATGGAAATATCTGAAACAACCTCGGGAGTTTTATCAGTCTTGTTCATAATAAATGAACTTTAAAAGATTTTGCAAATATTGTCCGAAATTCAAACTCATTTCATAACTTATGCGATGACTCAACCATCCAAACGTAATAAAATCACTGCCATCTTTAATTCGCATAGAAAACGATGCGAAAACTTCTGCTTTTGTGTTAAAAACATTTCTGCTAGAAAGAATTGCAAAACAATGCAGCATATTTTAGGGGCCCACATTAATTTTTTGCTACCCAGGCATGACCTTGAGTTGTTTGTAAATTTATGAACTTCTCTCACAGCCTGAGGGTGTGGGTGTGGATTAAGAGAAGAACCACCCGCACACCCCACACCCACACCCATCCACACTCGTGGAAACCAGATAGAACTGTCGCAAGTTTATTTCAGGTAATGTTTTTTTGACCTTTGGCCCTCAGACGAACAAACCAAACCGTTTTTTCCGCATCGCTCTCTGCTCAGCGGAAGCAAAAATCATCACATTATTTTCTTTAAAAAACCCTATTTTTGTTTAAAAAAAATACTATTTGGACCTTTTGAAAAACTGATAATGCGATTCGATTCCCCGACCCCGAAAACCTTAGGTCGAATGTTCTGCGTCGACTTTTCTTGAAACTATGATTGTTTAATCTGTTTTTGTAATAAGATGTTTTTTTGGCCTTTGACCCTGACACAGACACACCAACAAACAAGCAAATAAACGCATTTTTTTCCGTATGACCCTCCCTTCAGTCGAGGGAATAAAATAATTATCAAAGAAAGCTGTGGAAGATACATATTTGTTCACGCGAAAATAATTCTCACATATTTACTTTTATACAAAATGCGTATCGATATTCATCTAACAACAATGAGAGTTTGATGGTAGAACTTATTCTACTAGGTACATCACATATATAATGTAGTTTACAGTTGACATGAGAATTTAGTTGAGATTGAAATGCGCAAATAAATGAATAAATAAATAAAATAAAAAATAAAAAATTGTTCCTTATAAATAAAGCTTTTAAAAAAACAAAATAACATTCATTTATCTACATTTCCGTTTTCATTAACTGTTCGATTCCATAGACTGTTAATTAGGAAAAAATGTTCTCTTTTTTTCGAGTCATTTTATGTATCTCTATCTATTTTCTTAGTTTAGCTCGATTATAACTAAAAGTTCAGTTCAAAATCAGGCAAGATTATACATCATGTGTTATCGATTATATTATTTACAAAACAATTTTTACTTTCTATTCTATTTATATTCCTGATTATACCATATAATATGATATAATATTGTATCTTTAAAAAGAACATGTCATAGGAAATTTTCTTTCTTTTAGATAGTTGTTCACGTCAAACCATCCAATTCTTGCTCGAGAAGCATTCAATTTTTTAGATAATCATCCCATC